TGACTGGGAGCTCCAAAATCCCAACCCAGAGTCCTGACTGGGAGCTCCAAAATCCCAACCCAGAACCATGACTGGGAGCTCCAAAATCCCACTGCAGAGCTGTGACTGGGAGCTCCAAAATCCCAACCCAGAGCCGTGACTGGGAGCTCCAAAATCCCATTGCAGAGCCCTGACTGGGTTCTCCAAAATCCCACTGCAGAGCCGTGACTGGGAGCTCCAAAATCCCAACCCAGAGCTCTGCTGGTGGAACAGGAACAGCACAAAGAGCTGGTGCAGAGCTCCAGCCAATGTCTGAATTATTCCCCTTTTTTTTATGGCCATCCTGGGGGCTGTGGCTGAGTGAACCTGGCTGCTKCAGCTGAATTCCCAGTGAAAGCTAAAATTCCCATTATCACACCCAGCTCTGATGCTGTCTTTAGGTCAACTGAGAGCTGCTGAGAGGATTCAGAAAGGTGAGTGAGCATTGGCAGCCTCAGTGGGATGAGGGGAAGGTGATTAGAGCAGGGCAGACATCTCTGCCTGTCCCTGGGCAGGAACTGTGCAGTTTGAACTCTCTTTAGGCTGTGCTTTTCACCGTGCCTGGGTTTTACTCAGCTGGGGTGGAACAAGGAGTGTGAGCCCAGAATGGCCCTTCCTATCAGCCTAACAGCAGTAAAAGTGCTTCTCTAATGCTTATAAATCACTCTGGATAGGAGAAGTACCATATACTATTAATGCATTTATTATCCACCAAGCTGCGAGGCCCGAAGACGGCCAGTGATGTATAAATAYCCAGTAAAAACTTTTAAAAATTCAAAACTTCATTAACAATTTAAGACCATCTGCRCTGAATATTCAAGTGGCCCCTGTTCTGCTGCCTAAAACAAACTGACTGTGCCCTGTTTGCCCAGGGCCCTTTGCGAGCACGTGGTGAGCACAGCAAGGGCCACACTCATCCCCCAGGTGTAAAGGGACACAGGAGACCCAAACGTGGGCTCTGGATTAGGGTGGGGCGCCCTGCATTTGCCATTTGTGTTTTGGCAGCCCCAGGTACCCAGCAGGGTGATTTTGGGGTGTCCATGGCAGGGCTGAGCCCTCTCCTTCCCCTGGGGGAAGGATTTTCCCTCCCTGCTCCTGGGGCAGCATCACTGAGGTGTTTCCAT